GAAGGAAGGAAGGAAGGAAGGAAGGAAGGAAGGCAGGCAGGCAGGCAGGCAGGCAGGCAGGCCTAGGACTACTCTTGTGGTTGCCAAACGGGAGGCAAACAAAGTACAATGTCATGAGCTTATGTCCCAGTTCCTATCTTTGACAAATATGGACTTTTAACTTTCTACAGCATGACTGGTTCCACTCTATAAAACATTGAGCTAGCTAGAAAAGGCAAATACCTAGAGTGAACCAGCCAAGCTGGCTAAAGATAGTTTCCTGCATGTCCATACACACAAGGGCACTACCTACTATAAAACAGTGCCATATTTCCCAGATACAAAACATAGTGCAGGAATTGCTGATCTCCTGCCGCTTTTCAGTTTTGTGCAAGGACTTGGTGGACTCTGCTTCTACCACTAATAGTCATGAATTGGCACATGCTATAGAGGTGATTATACAAGTCATTAGAAATCCCCATTAGCAAAATTGCAGAGCTCTTTGGAATTTACTCATCAACTCCATCCAACCACAACTTTCTTGGCCTTTTCCCTCTTCTTGACTCATTCACTCTTTCTTCATATATTTCTTTTGTGATTCAGGTCTCATACATTCTCAAGGTATGATCAAACCACCTCAATATTCTTCTTTTATACTGGTCACTTACTTTTGTGCTTAGTCCCCATTTATTCAGCATCCATTCATTCTGGATCCCAGGACTTCTTGTTTTACCTCATACGCTTCTTAAGTAACCAATTTCCACTTCAACTTACTTTTATATTTCTTGTATCACAGAGAACTCACAACAGCAAAAGCATGCTCTTACACACATTGCATCATAAAATTCTCGGTCATACACTGCAAATAATTCAGACTTTTAGCCAACCACACAGCAACATCTGTATGCAAAAGTAATGTACATTCAAATTCCCAACCAACATAATAGTAATGAGATCCCAAGCATGCATGCATTCATTCATTCATTCATGCATTCATTCATTCATGCATTCATGCATTCATGCATTCATTCATTCATTCATTCATTCATTCATTCATTCATTCATTCATTCATTCATTCAGATGACTGGAGAATTCTGGGACCTGAGTCATAACACC